TGCTTTTTTCTTGCTTATTGACATACATTATGAGTGATCCCCAAATTCCACTCAGGCTTGTCTTTTCCTTTGCATCATCAGATTCACCACAGGCTTACAACATCCCCTTTACAACATCAGATTCATCATGGATTTCATCTCTGGTAAGCTTTAAATAACACATTGCTTAGGGTTTAACAAAAGAGAATGTAATCTATGTTAGTACCAAAAATCCAACATGTAAAATGACAGCTGGGAAAAGCAGAGGAGACACCAGGTCTGTCTGGCTGACTCCAGGGTGTCTCCATGTGGCTCCTTCCGGGCAGCACAGATGAGTCTGGGCCATGAAGAAGTCCCCGTCCATCACTCACTTTTGTAGGAGTGGTTTATCTGCTGCCTCTCTTCTCAGCTCTCTAAGACCTACTCCTCTGCTTAGCTGAGTGCTCCGCAAAGGTCACCACAGACCTCTGGACTGATATTTTCAGTCACTCTCCTACTTCACCTTTCTGCAGAATTAACATTGTGACTACCCTCTGCATTGTGGAATATTTTTCTCCTCTTAGCTTAGGTGACCTAATCCTTTTTTTGGTTCCTCCCTCACCTCTCTGAAATACTTATTCATGTTTTCTGTCTCTGTCTATCTGCACTCTCACCAAAGGATTATTTACACCTACCAAATGGATTAGATTGTTAGGGATGTGGTAACAAAGTACTGAGTGGCTTAAACGGAAATTTATTGTCTCAGTTCTGGAAGCTGGAAGTCCAAAATGAAGTTATCAGCAGTGCTGATTCCTTCTAAGAGTTATAAGGGAAGGATTTGTTACAAGGGCTCTCTTCTTGGTAGATGGCTATCTTATCCAGGTTTCTTTACATTGTCTTTCCTCTATGCCTGTTTCTGTGTCTAAATTTCCTCTTATTGTTAAGCATATCAGTCATCTTGGATTAGGGCCCACCCTAACGACCTCATTTTAACTTGATTATCTCTGCAGAGACTCTATCTCTAAATACAGTTACATCCTGAGGTCCCATTAAGAAGAATGGTACTTATATATACTACTGACTGTGGGATTGTGAATGGTTATAATTTTTATGGAAAGCAGTTTAAGATTGTACAAATTTTGAGGGGACACAATCAACCCTTAACCCTCAGTCCCTAGAATCACTTTTTCTGTATCTCAGGTGCTCAGTGTAGAAATTCAGTAAATATACTTTGTCTTTCTGTGGCCAAGTCCTCCTCTTTTTTCTTTTTTTTAACTGAGGTATAGTTGATTTACAATATTGTGCTAGTTTCAGGTGTATGGCTGTCCTCTTCCTTGTATCTCTCTCTTCTTTGGGTTCCAATGACACCACTTTTTTCCTACCTTGTTCCACTCTCTCAAATCCCTCCTTGATGTCTATTGTGGACTCTCTATCCTCGTATATCCTCCTCGATCTTGAAGTTTTCCAGGTTCTATTCTTGGCTTCTTCTTACTCCACCATCCCCTCTCCCTAGTGATCTCACCCACAAAGAGAATCTCAACTATACCTATAACTGATGCTGAAGACTAATGTTTTCTGCAGCCCATACCTCTTTCTTGAGCTTTACACCTGTATATCCATCCGCTTGTCTGCTTGGACAACACCATCTAGCTGCTCCAAGAGATCTCAAATTCAGCATGTTAAAAAATGAATTCAACTTCCGTCCTCTTTCCCCCTGGCCCAATCCCATCCACATTTTGGGAAGGATGCCACTATATACTTAGATCTCTCCATTCAAGCTCCATGCAAATTCTGCCAATTCTAGTTTGTAAATATCTCCCAAATGCATCCTCTCCTCTCTGAGCCCACCATAACTGCCCCGGTCTCATGTTCTCAACACCTCTCCTTGAATTAGTTTCCTTCAGTCCTATTAGTCTAATATTTTCCTAAGTGATTTCCTTGTTACCTCAAATCAGTTATGCATTCTGTTGCCCGTGGAATTAAAAAAAAATTTTTATGGTATTTTTGCTTGTTTATGGTTCTTCAAATATAGGCTGTGACTTTGGGATAATCACAATGGATGCCTGGGCTTGTGGGGGTAGGGGCAAGGGGGTGTCCTTGTTCTGGCCCCTCCCAGGGTCCACCTCATCCTCTCTGAGAACTATCTGTCAGGCATCTTCTTGCAGTATATCTGCAATTCCACACACCCCATCTATCTGTTTGATCACCCCAACCTTGCAGGAGAGGGTTTGTTTAAGTTATGTAGACTCCTCGTGAAGCCTGTGGCCTATGAAAACCTCAGGAGTGTTTCTGAGCCATCTTTTCTCTCCTGCAATAGCTCTTTGCTCCTGGCTTCATCTCTGCATCTAACTCAGGTCTCAGCTGCTTTACCTTCATCCTCCTTTCCAGCGTTTGATTTCCTGCTGTCATCAGAATCATTCTCTGGAAGTGGCTGGACTTGTCTTTGGACTCTGCCTGTTTCATGTCAGCTCCCCTGGGAACCCAGCCTAGGGTTGCCCTGAGAGGCTCAGAGCAGATTGCATTCTTACGCTGGACAAAAATCTTCCTGAGTTCTAGTCCTAGCATTGACATCAAGTAGCTGTATCATCTTGGACAAATGATCTCCTTTCAATTTCTTAATCCTAACTATAATAGTAATAAACAATATTAATAATCGCTGAGTACTTTTCACAGCAAGGTTCTAAGGTACTTAGAACCTTACATGGATTATCTCATTAAAATCTCACACTTATCATGATTATCCCCATTACACAGTAAAACACTAAAGAATTGTGATTGTTACGCAACAAAAGTCACACACCTAGAAAGTGAAAGAGTCAGGCACAGAAACCCCAGCACTTCGGTTCCTAAGTGTGGCCACTTAACCCTTGCACTGTTCTTCCTTTTACCATGCAGCTCTCTCTAGAGCCATACTATCCATTTGCAAAATAAGGAAATGAGCATTCTGATATCTTCCACATAGAATATTTTATGAAAATAGGCTTATCAGGATCTAGTGATTTATGGGTAGAGAGAGTATGTTTTTTGAGGTGTCAAGAAACAAAAAAGTTAATAAAGAATAACCCAAGCCCTAACAATGAAACTCCACAAATTATGAGTGATCATGTACCACTGGACAGCTGGCTGCTTTTCTGAAAGAAGCCAGCTATTGGTTATGTTTTCTTAAATATCTAGCTTTATTTCTCTGCCTGCAGATGTGATCTAAATTCAAAAGCACAAAGTAGAAAATATAAATCATCTGTATTTCTGACTAACATTGTATATATATAGGTATCATGTATAAAAGCAATAGCAGTGTACATTCTGGGTTTTTTGTTTTCATTTTTCTGTAAGCGAAACTCATGAAGAATTGTTCTACATTAGAAGTTTTTAATGATTGCATTGTATTTCATTATGGATGTTCCATAATTAACCAACTACTTATGTTTAGACATTTAAGTAATTTCTAAGATTTTCCATATGAGAAACAATGGCAAGAAAAATATGCTTGAACCCTTACAAGAAATTCCTAAAAGCTGAACTACTTGGTTAATAGGCACATATGTTTTCAGAGCTTTTGGTATGTATTACTAGATTATCATCTAGAAAGATTGTATTATCATCAACAAGTAACAAGGGTACTTCCTCCCTCCTTAGAAACACATAGAATTCTCACTTGCTTTGCAAAATATTTGCCACTTTCCTAAAAGAAAAATGTCATTTCACTTTTAATTTCCATTTCTTTTATTTCAGATGGGACTAAACAGTATTGGCCATTTATATTTTAAAATTTCCTGCTCATGATCTTTTCAAGCACTGTGAAACAAAGAGAATCTTAACAACAACAATGTACACAGTGGCCTTTGGTTCTATACACATCTGTAGCATAATTAAGGGTATCATTTCTATGGTTCTACAAAAACTGTAAATTCTGAAATTGTTTATTTCTTATATGGGCAATAATTTCACTGGCAGGAAAAGAAGTCTTTACTTGGGAATTAAATTCTAATCTTCTGAAATAAAAGCAGGAAAACTATCTACCAAACCAGTAAGCACTGGGTAGATGAGGGTTACATAGATTTTCAAAGAACAAAGAACAATAATAACCAGTGACCCCAGCTGCCACCATCCAAGAGAAGGGTGTGTGTGACTTCTTCCAGTAAGTCCCTGCCATGGGGGCCTGCCAGGGCTTGGAGAAACCTTGTGGTGCACGCAAAATAGAAAGAAAGATCTCAGCTTTACTCCTGACCATCGTGATCTTTAGTTACTTATTTAGCTTCTTTAAGCCACAGTTTTCTCATCTATAAAACACAACGATGATATCATCTGTCTGAGAGTCATTGCAAAGACTAAAATATAATGAAATAACAGTAAACTTAGACTATATCATGCATATTTAATACCCGGTAGCAAACTGAACTATTCTACCTCCTTCTGCTACCTCGTCCTGCTCAGAATCTCCCATGGCCTATTTGTGACTCACTCTCTGGGCTCTGTATTTTCTTCCTAACCTCTTATTCCTCTCCCTTTTCCTTGGCCTTTCTTCTACTGTCTCTATCTCATTCCCCACCCCAGGCCAAACTGAACTTGGTGTCCACTGAATTTACTCCCTGACATTTGTTATACCTGTACAGACATTTAAAAGTTTCCTGATTCATAAAATCAATAACTGCAACATTTAAATATTTAAAAAACAAATCCAAAAAATTAAATCATGTAAAAAAAACCCTGACAACCAATAAACATTTTGATATATCCAGTAATTCACATCTTTAATTAGTAGTCAAATGTCTTTGGTAGGAATTTTTTAAAATCTCCTCTGCCTTGGAGGTATGGGATCAACTTAGAGTGGTAGAGCAAGAAGGCAAGAATGCCTTCAAGACTTTAGCTAACCTTCCATAGCATAGATGGAGCTTTCTCCCAAGTTTTCCTGCCACATAAATATGCCCTTAACACATAATTAGCATTCTTGGGCAGGAAGGACAGAAAACAGCACCATCCTCAACCTCAGTCTGACACTGAGATCACCAACTGCCTTTCAAAGAATAAGAATGATCACTCACCATTTGAAACGCATTTTCGCTATTTCTGCTGCTGGGGTTACTTCTGGGAATGGACTGCCCTTGTCCGTCCGTCTGTCTGTCTGTGCTAGTCTGCTTTACAGTGGCAGGAGGAGCAACCCCTCCTACACCCGTGAAAGCCTTCCTCCTCAATGACTGCATAATCTGTAACTTTCTGTATTAAAGGCTGTTCCTCTTTTTTTCTACAGATTTTGCCAATACTTGTGGAAGAAATTTAACCCTTTTCTTGCATTTGAGTGTTTTCACCTAGGTCTAAATGTATTTAAAAAATAATAATTCAGTGCCTTGAGTTCCAAACATGGCATTAAAATGAGACTAATTAAAAATCTCTCCTCTTGAAACTCCCTCAAAAAGCCTAAAAATTAACATAATTATCCAGAGGAGGGGGGAAAGACCTCTGCATTTATAAGATGATATAAAAGAATGTCCTACAGATTATGGTAAGACAATAAAAAGTGTGACTTACTATGGATGTGTATTGGAAGTGGGTAGCCTCCCCTTGTGATTTCTACCACCAAGATGATAGAAGATTTCACTGAACTTCGGGGACAAGGGGATGTTATCACGTAAGATCTGCACAACCAAGGAGGGCAAACAAAAGCCGCCGCTTTTATTATGTCACTCCTATTAGAGTCAAAGATTAAATTGGTCAAAGAAAGGATCCTGAAATAGAGACCTGAAAAAAAAAGCAGCATCCTAAAATTAAAAGATGCGCTCTGTGATGACTAGATAGGTGGGTTGGGGGGAGGGGAAGGAGGGAGGGGATATATGTATTCAGACAGCTGATTCAGGCTTCCCAATTGGTACTGGTGATAAAGAGCCTGCTTGCCAATGCAGGAAACATAAGAGAAGTGGGTTCAGTCCCTAGGTCAGGAAGATTATCTGGAGGAGGGCATAGCAACTCACTCTAGTATTCTTGCTAGGAGAATCCCATGGACAGTGGAGCCTGCCAGGCTACAGTCCATAGGGTCACAAAGAGTTGGATACAACTTGAAGCAACTTAGCATGCACAAGACACAATTAAGAAACTCAAAGGGTTCAGACTGTCAAAAATATTTTTAAGAACATGACTTTCATTTCAAGAAATTACTATGAGCATTTTAAATTCCAAAAATAAGAAAAACTAAGAAAAGGAAAGAAATTCAAGTGGGGTGAATGCAGAGAAAGCTAAACCAGTTTGGTCTGTTAATCAACACTAAATGTTAGATAAACGACAGAATAATAGACATAAATTTTGAGGTAGTGTTCTCTACCCAGATAAGATGGTGGTTAAATGTGAAATCAATAGGAACATATTACCAGACAGAAAAACTGCAGCAATAAAAACATTACCACTAAGATAACCTTCCTAAATAAATTATTTAAGTATGTATTCCAGAATAGTTAAAAATGAATTAAAATTGAAAGTCTAAGAATGGAAAAGCTATGGTTAAAGAAAGAAAGCTTAGGTGAGCTTGAAAGTCAGTAAAACATAGAGATAACACTAAAAATAATTGTTGTGAATTAGTTTAGAAGATTAGAATGTTAAGAAAAAAATCATTAGAGATAGATTACCTGTATTTTTACAGAAGTTTGAAAGTAACAGATGATACGATTTTGGGAAGATGGCAGAGTAAGAAGCACCAGGAATCTCTTTCATTACTGAGACAACAATTGCAAAGGAAGACTTTGTCTGATGTAACTATTCTGGAACTCTGCAGTCTATTGAAGACTCTCAGTTTTCAAAGGAAGGTTTGGACTGTAAACTGTGGTTAATTTCCAAAAATTTCAGCTGTTGGCTCAGAAGCAGATACTCATCTGCTACTCCCAGCTCCATTGCAGGCAACCGTGCATAGTTCCTGGAGCAGCTTGCACATAGCTTGCATGAGTCAGAATGGACAAAAACAAGGCCCTATACTCCAAGTATCTGTGGTTTATGTTGTGATCCCTGATTGCTGCTTCTGATACACAAGCACAGAAAAGAGATGAGAAGCCATTTTGTTGCACCTCCCCCTCCAGCTGAAATGGCCTATAGAGGATTTAAAGGACTGGTGCCCTTTCTCTTCCTTCATTTTTCTCTTTTTCCCCTTTTTGGAGCCAGACATTAAAGACTAGGAAATTCAAAAGCAACTACATGTATGGGAAATTGTGAAAGGCAAAGATTCACAAAAGACCTGTGAGAACCTTAGGTTTATACCTCAGTCTGATCCTTAGCACAGAGACAAAAAGTAAACAATGGGAAAGGTAGATAATCTGATCTCCAGGGTTAGTACATTATTAGATTTAAATGTCCAGTTTTCAGTAAAAAAAAAAAATCATATCCAATGTATATAAAGAAATATAAAGTATTAAAAGAAAAAAATAAATCAACAGAAACCACTGTTAAAGACTTTATGGCATATCTACTAGACAAAGACTTTAAAACAATTCTTAAAGATGTTCAAAAAACTAAAACAGGATGTAGAGAAAGTCAATAAAATGATGTATGAACACAATGGAAGTGTTGGTAAAAGAGTTACAAAACCCAAAGAGAAACCAAAAAAAATTATAGAGCTGAAAAGTACAATAACTGGTATTTTAAAATTCACTAGGAGTCAAACCAAAATTTGAGTAGGCAGAAGAAAGAATCAATGAAGTTAAAGATGAGACAAAAAAAAATTATCAAGATTGAGAAACAGAAAAAGAAAGATGAAGAAAAATTATTAAAGCCTAGGTTACCCATGGAACGCCCTGACATTAATCAACATATTCATTGTGGGAGTCTAGAAGGAGAAGAGAGGGAGAAAGGGGAAGAACACTTCACAAATTTGATGAAAGACTTAAATATAGATATTCAAGCAGTTCAACAAACTCCAAGTAAGATGAACTCAAAGAGACCTATACTGAGACATATGATGAAATTTCTGGGAAGCAAAATACAAAGAGAGAGTTTATTTATTTATTTTTGTCCATGCTGGGTCTCTGTTGCTGTGAGGGCTTTTCTCTGGTTGTGGAGAGCAGGACAGCTCTCTAGGTGTGATGTGCAGGCTTCTCATAGCAGTGACTTCTCTTGTTGTTGAGCATGGGCTCTAGGCATTCAGGTGTTTTCAGGCTCAAGAGCACAGGCTCAATATTCGTGGCACATGGGCTTAGTTGTTCCCAGGCATGTGGGATCCCAGATCAGGGATCGAATTCATGTCTCCTGCATTGGTAGGTGGATTCTTTACCACTGAGTCACCAGGGAAGCACCAGAGAATCTTCAAAGTGTCAGGTGAGAAAGACTTGTCATGTACAAAGTGTTAGTCACTCAGTCGTGCCTGACACCTTGTGACCCCTTGGACTGTAGCCCAGCAGATTCCTCTGTCCATGGGATTCTCCAGGCCAGAATACTTGAGTGGGTAGCCATTCCCTTCTCTAGGAGATCTTCCTGACTCAGGGATCGAACCTGGGTCTCCTGCATTTCTGGCAGATTCTTTACCTTCTGAGCCATCAGGGAAGCCTCTTTAGGATCCTTTATAACATTATCACCATAATATTAATACTTATTAGAAAATTTAGAGGCCAGAAGGCCATGGGCCAATATATTCAAAGCACTGAAAGAAAAAAGAAAAACCTATCAACCAACAACCCCATATATGGAAAAACTGTCCTTCAAATGTAAGGAAGAAATTAAGTCTTTCCCAGGTAAACAAAAGCTGAAAGAGTTGTTTACTTCTTTATTATCTCTACAAGAAATGCTCAAGGGAGTCCTGCAGGGTAAAATAAAAACAAAACTCAAAGTTGTACAAAGAAATAAAGATCTCAGAAAAGTTTAATAAACTGGCAATTCTAAAAGCTAGTATCATTGGAACTTTGATTTGTAACTCAATGTTTTGTTTTCTATATAGTTCAAGAGGTTAATGCATTTTTTTTTCAAAATAAATAAAACAGAATGCACTCTTATTTAAAAAGTGGAATATTAAAAAATTAGCTGTAGAAGATACACATCAAAAAATACCTCACAGAAGTGTTGAAAATTAAAAAATTGAAAAATATATACCATGCAACTACTAATCATAAAAGATGCTAAAACAAGATATTAATGAATTAAAAAGACTTATTAGTTTGTATTTTGGGGCACACAATAAATAAAGATGTAATTTTGTGATGTCAACAACTGACAGAGCTATAAAGGAGCAAAGTTTTGTTTATTAAAGTTAAGCAAGTATAATTCAAATTAGAATGCTACAGTTTTAGGATGTTTAAATATAGTCCCCAAGGTAACCACAAAGTTTGGTTGTTATATATATATAGTTATATATAGTTATATAATATATATAAAATGACATAAGAAATAAATTTGAGCATTTCATTCCAAAAAAGAAAACACAACTAAACACAAAAGGAGACAATAGGGTAGGAAAAGAAGGACAAAAAAATATAAGGCAGATAGAAGACAAATAGCAAAATGACAAAAGTAATAAGTAAATAAGTAAAAGTAATAAGTAAAAATCAATAATTACTGATAGTTGAAGACTTCATTAGCCACTCTCCATAATGGGTAGAACAACCAAACAAAAGATAAGCAAGGAAATAAAGGACAATAATATAAGCCTACTAGATCTGATGAACATACATATAACACTTACCCAACAACAACAGCATTGACCTTCTCATTAACACAAGATATTTTCTAGGATAGACTATAAGTTAGGCCTCAAATTCACTTTCAATGAACTTTAAGAGATAGATATAATACAAAATATGTTCTCAGACAAAAATGGAATAATGTTAGAAATCAGTAACAGAATCAAAACTAAAATTTCACAAATTTGTAGAAATTAAGCAACGTGTTTTTAAGCAATCAGTTGATCAAAGGGGAAATCCCAAGGGATATTAGAAAACCTTAGAGATGAATGAAAACAAAACACATCAAAACTTATGGAATACAGTGAAAACTAGGACTATGGTGAATATTTAATAGCTCTAAACACTGATATCAAAAAACAAGGATCTCAAGTTGACAGCATAAGGAACTAGAAACTTTACAACTTAAGGAACTAGAAAAAGACAAACATACTAAACCCAAAGATAGCAGAAGGAAGGAAATAATAGCAATTAGGACAGAAATAAATGAAAAAGAGAATGGAAAAAAACAGAGAAATCAATGAAATCAAAATGT